ATTTTTTTTAAATAACGTCCTTTTTACAAAAACCATCCAGTCCCCCTAACAGAAATCAGTCGGTCCGATTAGTGTCGTCCGGGTCAGACTTTCCCTTTTGGATAGTTTTCTTAGAGCCTGTTATATCGCTACTTTTCGTATTTATATTTTAAACTCAAATCTAAAAAGCCTTCAACACCCAAATGTGGTTTAAAGTGAGTAGGATTGATAGATAAAGTAATAGTAGTAGTAAGTTATTTGGATATGTTTTGCTTCGGATTCGGAAGCTCACAAACTCCATTATTTGATTTTGGTATTGTCGGTAGTGGAGTTTTTCTTAAACTGTTCTCGTGGCATATGGACCGCCCATTAATTACTTAAATTTTGCACATCTATTACCCACTTATTCACTTTTCACATCTCACTTTCCACATCCCATTTCTCATATTTCACGCATCAATTTTTCGTGAAGGGATATATAATGATACAAGTCATTTTTCACTCTGAGTTGCCTCCTTCTTTATATCACAGAGGGTTACCATATGGTCTCCTAAAGGAGGACATGTCCTCCTTTTTCAATAATTTTTTCTACATCCTCCTCTTGCCCGAAAATATCCTCCTTTTTAATACTTACACTTTTTCCAGTAACATATTCATAAAATTGTTTTCAAAGAGCGTTGTTTGCAGAGCTCATTTGTTTAATTATGTCGCAACCTCATCTTATCTAGCAAATGCCATTCGATGGTGGGACTAGGAGTATACTACAGCCCCTACAATTAGGCTACGGTTCATTTGGTGAATTTTAATGTTATAATGTTCGAAAATCTCTCTGTTGTTGATCGTGTGATTTTCGAAAAAGTGTTTGTCAAAATTGATTCCTGGCCTGCCAGAAATAAGTCGGGTACAATGGCAGATTTATTTGAAAATTTTCTATCTGTCAAATTTAAGTTAAAATTCATCAAATGGAACACAGTCACACATATTGAATCTAACATGTGATCGATTTTGACGTTCTGGTTCTATGGGATTTTAGGTATTTCAAGCATAGCTATTCAACTCGACGTATCTGATTTTGTAAACAATCACTTCAATCGCCGATTTGTGGCAACTGCAAGCTCATTCACAGAAACTAACAACACCAGCTAGCAGGGGAAAGATTCCCCTACCTGACGATGGTGTTTGTTTGCTTGGGTGAGTTAGCAGTTAAGACAAATCGTCGATTGAAAAGATTGTTTACAAAAGTAGGTACACGGTTTTTTTTTACACGGTTTTCCACGATTTACACGGTACGTTTTTAACGATTTCTCGACAACGATACAACCTATCGACTTGATTCCAATCACATTATCCGTTTCAAGCTATTTGTAATCGAATGGCATACTTAAAAAAAAAATCACAATTTTTGGTGTAAATACAGAAATTTTTAAAATATGTCTATATGGACCATATCATGCTTTAATTACAAATCGCATCGAAAATCCGATTTTTTAAAAACATTTAAGCATGCGAAAAATCAAAATCTCGTAGGGTTTTTTTTACACGGTTTTTTTTTACACGGACCGTATACCCCGTGTAAAAAAAGACCTGAGTGTACTTCGATTTGAAAAGTTACACTTGATTTTTTTTCAGTCCGCTGCCTTACTGAGAGCGAAGAGGCTGTAAATCTGTAGTTTTCATTAGAAATACTCAGAGGGAGAGATGGGCGGAAAGAATGTTTTGAGCCAAATGAACTGTCAAAATCTGAGCCAATCGAACATTCCAATTAGAATATTCCGAGGATTTCTTATGCTTACTAGAATAAATTTGAGAGTATTGCAATCGAACAGAAATTCAATCACCTTTATGTTTTGTGTGATTCTCAAATTCAACTAGTTTTGGTAACCAAAAACAATATTCTAACTCTATTGATTAATTGATCTTCGTTGCTTAATTAATGGCACCAAGAAATGTGCAAAATATTGCGATGCAATCAATTATTATTTTGCACGTAAATCGAATCAAAAATAAAAGTAATTTGAAATGCTAGCTTCTAGCAAGGGTTTCAAGATAATTTAGGAACAAATCCCTGCTGCCGAATTGTATTTTGTTTTCTCCGCCTATCTCTTCCTCTGAGTATTTGTAGTTTTCATGCAAATCAGCTAGACTAGATCATTTCCAAGTATCAAAAATGAATTACGAAGGCATTTTCAGAAGTATTACGAGAATTTGAATTGAATTGGTAACGACTACAAGTTATGAACTATCTCAATTGAACCTTTGCAAATCACGAATTATGTGATAGCGCACATATTATTAAAAAGTTTGATAAAAACTCATTGTCCTCATTTAATGTTAAGAAAAGGAATCATTGTCCTCCTTAATCTCCAAACCTCAAATGAAATGTCCTCCTTTTCAAGTTTTTGTTATGGTAACCCTAGTTTATCATGAGCAGTTCTTTGACAGATAAAATTGATCAAACAATACAACTGAACTGCTCTAAAGGAAGTTTTCTCTTTTGAAGTTGACACCTTCTTTATATCATGAACTGTTCTTTGACCGATAAAAGTTATTTAAAAATCCAACTAAAATGTTCAAAATGTTTGAGAGGGTAAATGACGGCACCCGTCGCCAATTTTCAGCAACTAAAACTTAAACGTTAATATCAATCTGATTACATTTATACGACTGAGCAAACCTGTTACGCCAGGTTTTTCTTTAAATTAAATATACGCACTACAAAATGCGGCTGATAATAGAACAGTTAGTCTAACACGCAGTTCAAACGGAAAGGTTGTCGACAATAGTCACACTCACCTGAGAAGTTTGGAATGTTGTAAACACGTTTTCAAACGTTTTAGACAATTTCCACAATCTTCTGCTCAGTAAGCACTAACGGTCTCCATTAGGCCACCGAGCCCCTAACATTTTAACACCATTTATTATCGAGTTGCTTTTAAAGACATTCAAACCCAGTGACGATGACGTCAAATGCGTGCGGGATCGAAATCCAGCCACCTTATATGACATTGCTATAAAAATTCCAGAACCCAAAGATTAATTTCTATTTTTAATTAATTCATTTGGTAATAACTCTATTGTTGAAAAAAAATCTTTCCAAACCATTGCCTTGAAGTATTCTTCTCATGCTTCCTAGGTGTCCATTTTTGTTCTGTGATATCATTCCTGAATGACAGAGCATTCATGACTTTTATCTCGCATTTTTGTGTGGCAGCATATTAATTTCACACCGCGATCACGTTCTGTCATGACAAAGAAATGAATGAGATGTTGATGAATAGTTAAGTCACCGAGATTTTACCCAATGACAGTGTCTGAAATATGCCCTGACTGAGCTATGGCGGCCCCCACTTTGTTTCCACTACCGCCGAAATCAAGATGGAAATGTAAAGTTTTAACAATTATAAAGCGTTATAAATCCATCAACAAATTAGCCACGTAAAGTATATAGATGGACGGACGCATTCGTGTCGCACTTCGCAAGGACAGAAACAAGTCACAAATCATCGATTGTTTGCCTATAGCGTTTAAATTACCGTAAAACCGTTGACTCCTGTACGCCTGTTTCTTTCCCCTCAATATCTACATTCTTTTCCGTTGGAAAAAAAAAACAATTCCCGTACATAATTGTGATTACCCCATTCATTATTCTTACACCCACGCGATTCGATCCGCTGGTGGTGGTGGAAAGTGTTTATAATTTTTCCTTTTCATTAATGAACCCCGAACCGCACCGCATCTTAGGGTGTGCACGCGTACTTTTGCTGTGAGTCGGTGAACACATGGATGACGCGACGCACGGTTTTATTTCGGACTATGGCCTGCCTAAAAATAGCCGGTATTATGGTTTAAAAATAGGAGGACGTTATTTTATTGCACGCCCATGTCGGTTGTAAGATGTTCTTTCTTTTTTTTTTGATTTTTTTTTCTTCCTTCTCAAAACATGACAACGGCGATTTCTCATCGCTCTCTGTCTCGCGTGCCGTGTCCTGGGTACATCTAAGTCGAAAGAAAATAAGAATAGCGAGTAAAGGTGCGATTGCACTGATGAGGGGACCGAAAATAAACCGTTAGTAAGAGTTGGTAGCACACGCACACTGTTTGATTCACAGCCGAGGAAGTCAAGTTTTCTGGTTTCGCGTAAGTGGAAACATATTAGTCACTAATTACTGTTACTCTTCGCCTGTAGGTGACTAAGCTCGCTCGCGTTGAAACAGAACTAAGGCTTCACAAGTAACCAAGCAAAAATGTCATTCCGATCACGTTCCCGAACGGTTCAACCGATTGTCACACGTCGGGCCACGTCCCTCACGAGGTCCACCCCACTCAACAGTTCGATCTCCAGTCCACTCAGTTCCAGCTACGGTAGATCCTACACCGGAGCCAGCAATCCGTACAGCTCGGCCACCAGTTCGTACAGTTCCTACTCGCCGGCCACGGTTTCCAGTCCCTCCGGACGGTTGAACCTCTCCAATGGTGGTCACTATTTCGACTATTCCAACCTTTCGTCCCGGCGGGATTCGTACGGTAGCAATTCGAGCCTGGCCTACAAATCGCCCTACAAAGACAAGGACCGCTACGGCAACAGTAGCAGCTCGTACAGTTCCTCGTACAAAGATCGCTACGTTAGTCCGTATACGTCGACGTATGACAACGGATCGAGCTATTCGCTGAAACGTGTCAACCATCTAACTTCCAATGGCCTGTCCGGTTCTAACGGAAGCCTGAACAGCAGTTATTCCCCTTCATCGTATGGTAACAAATCGACCAACGTCGGCAGGAGTCAATCGCTGAGGGATCACGAGCGGAGAAGTCGCAATCGAAGCCGGGCTTCGATAGCGTCGTCCAATCTTGCGTCCGGATCGCTGTCCCGATCGTACAGTACGAATTCCGTCCAGAGCGAGGGATACGAAGTAAGATTTGGGACCCGATGAAATCATTGCTTTCAAACTACAACCTTCATTTTTAGATCTTAAGTAATGCTATTAGAATAGATACTAATTTTTGTTTGCTTTCGTCAACAGTCCGGAACGGAACGGGGTCGATCGCGCGTTGGTTCGACCGCATCCGAGTTAGCGGACCAGCAGAAGGATGCTGGAGAATCCAAGGAGAATGGCGGTGACTACATCGACTACAAAGCTCTCTATGAACAGGCCAAGTGAGTAGCGTCAATCGGCGCCATCGTCTTCCGGAATATGCTACGAAATATATGTAATAACTTTGCCGTTCCTTCTTTTTTTCGCAGAGCTGATAATAATAAGCTTAAGAGTGAGATGAGGAAAAAGGACGAAGAAGTGGCTAGTCTGCAAGCGGCACTCGAAAGGTTTACGGTCGCGGTAAGTACAATTTTGATTCAATATTTTCTATCTGTTTGTAATTTCAAGAATTACAAGATACCCATTCCTAATTATCCTTTCTGTTTCGAATTCAATGCTTCTCAATCTTGAAATTCATGACTTTCTCAAATGGATTGGGAAATTTTAAACTCTAAACTGAATTGTTATCATGCAATCTGTTATTAATAGATAGAATTCTTGAAATTCTATATGAATGGGGATTCTTTACTTTCCAATTCATCTAGAATGTAGAGAATCATATTTATTAATCCATTAACGCCCAGTGATCTATTTATAGTTCAGAATTTATTTTCTTTAACCATGTCTTAACAGAAATTGGGAACGTAAATTATGTTTTCAATATCACTAAATTGATACTTGGAATATCCTTAACATCTTGTTTTCAAATAGTGTGAGAATAACCCTTGGGTTACTCTTGAAAAAATCAAGCATTGTCCGGAGGTCATGTATGATAAATGTTCAATTTGGTTCGAGTTCAAAGTTTCTCAATCCATTTTGGAATTCAAGAATCCCAATCTATTGAAGATTCGTAGAATTCTAATATATTGAAACTTTCTTTGGGATTTCATTATCATCATTTCCAAATCTGGTGAAATTTGGAAAGAATCGCAATCGGTTTAAGATTTCAAAAATCTTAATTTTCTTGAGGTTCTTAGAACCCCAGAAAATCCATTTGTGAAACCAGGAAATCCAATTTATTTAGAATTCCTAGTTGTATGCGGATTTTAGATTCTGCTAGGGATTCAAAAAAGGATTTTTTAAATTCTTTATTTATGATATGTTTAGCCGTAGGCTAGTTCCTCTCAAGGAAAGGAATTTTGGAATTCTTAGATATCCATTGCGTTAAGGATTATAAGTTAAGGATTTCGTAAATCTCAATTCATTTAAAATTCTACAAATCCCTTTTGGAATTCCAAGTATCCTGTCTGATTCAAAAATTCTCAATCCATTTCGGGAATTGAAGAATCCCAATCTATTAAGGGATTGGAAGAATCCTAATCTATTAAAGGATCCAGATTATCTTTGGAATTTGAAATAAAATAAAACAATTTTCCTCCTAGAATTCTAGGATATCTATTCCATTTTGGAAGAATCCCAATCATTTGTTGTGGGATTCTTAACTTTCCATTCTGTATTGTGTTCCGTTTAAGATTTCGAGACCTTTTTCATTTAGGGTTCTATGAATCTAAACCTTCCAGATTTACTAATGGAATATCAAGATATTGATTCTGTTTTTTTTTTTTATTTCTCGAATTTCATTCCAGTTGGGATTCCCTTTATACTATTGAATTAATGAATCACATTTCATTTATAATTTCAAGCATCCTAGTCTTCTAAGGATTCCAATTTATTCTTGTAAAGGTTTAAGATTCGTAAATAATCTCAAGATACAATTTACGTTTGGAATACTTAGATATTTAACCTTTTTAGGATTCCAAGAATCGTAGTTTTTTTTAAGATTCCAGTTTCTTTTTGGGATTCCAAAAGATCCTTAATAAGGATTTAAGATTGGCTTGCGGATCATAAGATACATATTCCGTATGGTATTTCACTGATGATTCCAAGAATCCTAGTCTTATTAGGACTCAAAATTTCCATTGAGATTCCATGAATTAAAATTCTTGGAATCTCAAATGGAATTTGAAGTTATCAGTACGAATTTAATAAGAAATTTCTATAATTTCTATTATTCATGAAAAACCAGAATTTCAGACCATTTGAAATTTCTAGTAATTCATTCCGTTTGGGATTGAATCACCAGTCCGTTTGAAGTCCACTCTCAATCTCCATTTAGTGTTTCAATTTTCCGATCTACCCGGGATTCAAGAAAGGGCTTATGGCTTTTACGGAATTCATCGAAATGTTCATTTTTCAGCTTCTGTTGAACGATTCATAATGATTTGCAAAGTTTAGTCACCCAATTTTATTTTTAACATCCCTCGGAACTCCCTACCAAAGTTTCTTTCGAATTCTTCCTCAACTTTCTTTCTAATATTACGAAAGCTGTTTATCGGATTTCTTTCTAGAAGTCTTTCTTGCTTCCACCAGAAGTTTTTTCCTACTTGCTCCGGATGTTTAATCTGATTCCGCCCGTAAGTTTATTCAATTCCTGGAAACTTCCTCCAACTTCCCTGGAAGTTTTTTATTCCGATTTCCAACAAGAGTTTTTTTATTTTTATTTCCGCGGGAAAATTCTTCCCATTTCTCCTAATTGTATGTCAACTTTCTGTGCAAGATTTCCCCCCAGAAGTTTCTTCCGAAATGTCCCAAAAATCATTCTGTCTTTTCCCGGAACTGTCTTCCAACTTTCTTCGGATTTCCTTTCCTCCGACTTATCCTAGATGATTATTTAGACTACCCATCTAGAAATTCTTGACTTCCGCTGGTAGATTCTCTCGCCTTTCTGCAGATGTTCCCTTGGAAGTACCCCAAGACGTTTCTTCTAGCTTTTCCAGAAGGTTTCTTCCAGCTTCCTCCGGAAATATGTTTTGAATTCTCCCAAAAGTTTCTCAACTGGAAGTTTCTACTCAGGTTCTTCTGATTTACTCTGGTTGATGTTTTGCGTTCTCTCGAAAGTTCTCTAATTATTCATAATGTTCTGCCAACTTCCCATGGAAGGTTCTTTCACTTTCTCCTCGGTAGTTTCCGTCGACATTTAACAAAAAAATCTATTAGATTCTGCGGGATTGTCTTCCAACTTTTTTCCTTCGACTAGAAGTTTGTCCTATCTGCTGCCGAGAATTCTTCTAACTCCCACTGAAAGGTTCTTCCGAATTTTGTTTCCTCCGAAGTACCACAGGAAGATTCTGACAACTTTCTTTGTAAATTTCTCTCGAATTCCAAACTTCCTTTCCAAATTTCTCTCGACTTCCCTTACTTCTACTGGATGTTTTTATCGAAGTTCTTTTGGTTTCCTTCTGGAAGTGGCCCGCGTTCTCACGGAAGGTCTTCAGCTTTTCACAGTGTTCTGCAATATTCCCATGGAAGGTTCTTCCGCTTTACCCTCGGAAAATTCCTCCGAAAATTTTTCAAAAAACCTTTTGGCTTCTTTCGGAAGCCTCTTTCCACTTTCTTCGGACTTCACTTCAGAAGATTTTTCCGAATTTTCCTAGAAATTTCTTCTACTAACACCGGAAATTCTATTGATTTCTTCAAAAGTGTCCTCCGAAGTGTACCAGAAGTTTCTTCTTACATCCATCGGATTTTTTTTTTTCGAATTCTCAGAACTTTCTCTAGATTTCCTCTGAATGTTTCTCTTTTCAACTTCTTCAACTTTCTGCCAACTTCTCCTGGAAGGATCTTCCGCTTTAGGCCCAAAAGTTTTCATCGACCTTTTTTCAAAAATCCTTCTGGCTTCTTCTGGAAGCGTCTTTCAACGAAACATTTCTTCTGACTACCGCCGGAAATTTTACTGGCTTCCGCAGAAGTGTCCTCCGAAGTATACCAGAAGTTTCTTCCAACATCCACCGTAAATTTCTTTCAAATTTCCAGAAGATTCTCAAGACTTCCTCTAGAAGTTTGTTCCGACCCTCGGAAGGTTTTTCCCAACTTCTACAGGACATTTCTTTGAACCAAGGTCCTCCTGGTTTCCTCCGTGGTCTCACGAAAACTCTCCGACTTTTCACAACTTTCTACCAACTTCGCCTGCAAAGGTTCTTCCGCTTTCCGCCCGGAAGTTTCCTCTGATTTTTTTTTTCAAAAATCCTTTCAATTTTTCACGGAAGTATCTTTTAGCTTCCTTCGTATTTACTTCCGAAAAATTCCTCCGACTAATCCTAGAAATTTCTTCTGACTACCACCGGAAATTCTTCTGAATTTCACTGGAAGATTCTTCAGCCTTTCTCCAAAAGCTGCCTCCAAAATACTCCAGGAAGATTTAGGCAGCTTCTCCAGTAATTTTTGTCCAATTTCGACCGGAAGTTTCTTTTGAATCCTTTCAGGAGTTTCTCTCGACTTCATCTGGAAGCTTCTTCAGACATTCCCTTAGACCAATTCTACTGAAAGTTTCTTTTGAGGTTATTTTTTCATCCTCTTGAAGAGGGTTCTGTGTTCCTGTTCCCTTGTAAGGTTATACTGATTTCTCTAGAAAGCTGCTTCTGACATTGCCCAAATTTTCTTTTGGTTTCTACCAGAAGTATCTTCCAACTTTCTTCAGACTTCATTCCGGAAGATTCCTCCGAATTCTGCAACTTCTAGTTTCTGATTGTCGCTTAAAAATTCTTATGAATTTCGGGGGAAGATTCTCCCGCATTTCTGCAGAAGTTTCCTCCGAAGTACTCCAGGAAGTTTCTTACCATCTTCTCCAGGAAGTTTCTCCTAGCTTCTCGAGTAAAACCCATGGAGGGTTCTTCCGCTTTCCTCCCGGAAGTTTTCTCCGACATATTTTAAAATTCCTTCTGGCTTCTTCCGGAAGCGTCTTTCAACTTCCAGAAGATTTTTTCGACTTTTTTCTAACTGCCGCCGGAAACTAAACTGACTACAACTTCTTTCGAATTCTCCCCGAAGTATCTCTTGCCTTCCCCGGAGGTTTTTTCTTCCGAGCTGCTTTCGTCTTCTAACTTCCCAGGAAGTTTTTCCGACTTCTCCCTGATGTTTCTTCTTACTTCCTTCGGTTGATTCTTCCAACTTCTCCTGGTACCTTCTTCCGAATTACCCAAAAGGGCTTCTGAAGAATATTCTTCAAACTTCCCTAGGAAGATTTTTCCAAGATCTTCCGGACGTTTCTTTGGACTTTCTCCGAAAGAGCTTCTACTTTTCCCGACATTTCCGGGAAGTTTCTTACAACTTTCTTCGGAATTTGTTTCCGTTTTCCTCCGGAAGATTCTTTTTAATGTATTCCTGTGTCCTAAAACAAGTTTTAAGTGTGATCTTTTTTTAGTTAAAATATAGGGTAAGGTGGGACAAGATGGGTCACGGGGCAAGATGGATCAGCTAGTATATTTATTAATTTATTTGTTTCTCAATATCAACATGCTAAAACCAGTATTAGGGCTACATTGAGCCTGTTGATGTTGACAATTAAAAATATAAATAAATCTAGTAGATGACCCATCTTGCCCCACCCTACATATTTTGAATGTCTTACGAATAAATAAAATCAGATTCCCGAGAATCGGTATAAGTGATGTTTGATAAACTTCGTGGGATGTATGTAAACAGCAATTCAATGAATGATTTCAAGAATTCCACTCCATTTGAGTTTTCATAACGGATTTCAGCATTCTTAATGGGAATTGCAAGAATTGTCTTAAAGCGAACAGGTATGCAGTAGCAACTACGAAGTTTACGGTTTTCTCAATGCACAATGAGGATTTTTAGCGAGCATCCAAGTAAAAAGATCGTATTTATAATCTGAGTGTTCGCGAGCTTACTTTTTTGCTATGTGGGTCTGTCAGACGAAATTTTGACAACAACCTATTTATAAAATGGTTCAACCTGAAGGATCTCCAACAATTGTTAGCCAGCCACTTGTTGCAAGATTTTCTTTTGTCTTTGAAATTTGTCAGCTAATAATGAAAATATTCCCGCCCATTTGCAGACCACCAAAAACAACTCGCTGTCGGAGCTGGAAAAGCGGGAAAGACGAGCGATGGAGCGGAAAATGTCGGAAATGGAGGAAGAGCTCAAGGTAATTAGCCACAGCCACTGTCGGCGCTGCCATTTCGAAGTCTATTTTCCACTCTCGTTCTCGCTATTTTCATTTTCCTCTATCCATACATCACTCGATTTGCGCGTGCCCCTCTCCCAAACATCCTGCTGCCCCCGCTCCTCTTCAAGATTCATTTTTTTCACCCTAACGACCTAATAAATTTTTCGTTTTGCTATCCCGCCAAGACCGCGAGATGTCATCCGGTCACTTTACTCATTTTCCCGAGTTTTGTTTTTCGAGTTCCTTCCCTCGGTCATTCCAAATTAGTTTAAAATAAGAGGGGAGAGGGGGTCACTCTTTCGTACTATTCCTCCTCAAAACACAACGAAACAAAACCTCTAACCAAACAAAGTCATCATTCCCGGATCACAACCTTACATTTCTGTTTAGAAACAGGTTCATTTTCGGCTTGGTTTTAGATAATAAACACATTTCAGTCTAACCTTAGTGATTCTTCTGTTAGAATTTATTCAACATTAGTTTTCAGTGGCGCTTTTGCTTTCCGTTTTCGTTTTTGAAATTTGTCTTTTTTTTTCAACACTAAAAACAACAACAACAGTTAAGACTATCGATTAATTACTAGTTTTCCGACAACTAGGAACCTTGCTTTCCAACCAATACTAATTCTAGTACTAATATAATTGATACACATCTTATGATTTGAAGTAACAGATCATGAACATCTCGTGACACGTCCAAAGCAGCACACGAAAGCTTTTCTATTTTTGTATTTTTATTTTACAAAACAAGGTAGAAGCAGTAGGAGACCAGATTAAAATTTCACCCCTGGTGCTTCCACCCTATTTCAGTCATATTTCATGTTTTATTGGTTATGATTGGCTACTAATATTGTCACAAGTTTTAATCAGTCACCATACTCTAATATCCTCGAACAGTACAACGATCTAACAACATGCAGTACTATTATACACACAGTAAAATCTACCCTCAGCAGTGCTTATGTCTGTTTTTCTCTCACTCTTCTTCTCTGGCTCTCTCACTTTCTGAATGGAAGTTAAGGTTTAGTGTCTTTAGTAGCAAATTGGATTTGTAAATAACATCTACGTGTATAGTTCGAAATTAACCGTTTTGGCAATACTTGATAATCGTGGCGAAAAATATCGTACTAGATTTCCATTATTCACAGGTGTTCAGCTGAAACAATCTAATACGTCGTTTTTCGCCCAAATAGAAAACGAAAAAATTCTGGGCGAGATCAAACCTTAACTTTCGGCTCAGAGTTCCGAAAGTGTCACACATCTAGTACTGCATACACTATCGTATTCATTGTCAAAAAAGAAACAAAGAAATTCATTGAACAATTTTTATTAATTGTAATTTCGTCTTGTACAATCACCCCCACGTTTGCTCTTTTATTCTATTCGACGATTTCGACTACGGTAATTCATTACAACAACGACTACAACAAAAAAACTTCGATTCCCGATTCGCGCGGATACTTCGTTTTTCGATCAAATAAAAAAAAACCGACCAAAAAACCAAAAACCTAATCTACTACAACTACCACTACTTTTCACACCAAATCAGCTATTGCAAAAATACAAAACCGAGAACGAACGTCTCCGTGCGGAGAATCGCGCCCTCACCCGGGTAGTGTCTAAACTGACCACCTCAGCGCAGAATCAACTGCACAGCAAACAATAGTAGTGGCGCGGCGGTAGTAGCTGGTGAAGTAGTAGTAGAAGAAGCGTACCCAAATGATGATGCTGAGAGAGCCCCGGTACCGAGTTCTGTTCCTTCCACAAACACACACACACACGCACAGGTGTGCGCAGCAATCTTTAAAATGCGCATCGTGATCAATCCAATCAAACAACTATATATTACTCTAGTACTATGCATTTTTCGTTCTGAAAAATATACTATGCAGTAGAACAGTTTATCGTAGATATTGTAACGCTTTGGTCGGTATGAAGACATAGCATAAAAAATCAAGCCAAAATATACCTATACTATAGCTGAATTGAGTCCAAAAGTGCTAAAAGTGGTTACCACCAAATTAAAATGAAAAAGTAATATTAATAAATATCGCAAACTTAAATTGAATGGTGCTGTGTGTCTGTGGACTATCCAGAATATCGGAACCAGAAAAAAATAATAAGCAAATCAACATCCATCTCTCGGACAACGACGGGCACCGCCAACGAGACAACCGCCGATACTCGATCCAATTCTACCATCCGTGTGTTGTGTCCACATTTGGCCATCCGAGATGAAACTGATTTTGGTATGAGGCGTTTTGGTTTTCTTTCTGAGAAAAACTTTAAAACCAAGTGATGATCTTGATTAATCTCATATGGTTTTCGGTTTTGCGTTTTAGTTTTCCTTTTTCATTTTGGCGAGTTTTAAGTTTTCTGTTGAAATTAATAGATGTGTACTTAATTCGTTTTCGTTGTTTTCGTTCGCACCGGTTTCGACTAAAGTAAACAGCCATTTTCTTTTGTATCCCGTATACATGTCGACCGAGTATTGCCACTAAAAAGTTTGTTTCGATGAAATAATTCTTCCTGTAATCTAATGTTGTTGTTTTTCATCTTTACTTGTCTGTAACTTCTTATTGTTTTCGTCATCGTTAACGGGTTTGCAAGAGTCTCTATACTAGCTACTGGTAGCGAGCTTTATTACCTTGAATAAACAAAGAATGTCAATAACCAACTCTTGATTTCAGCATATAGAATTGTCAAAAGCTCACTTAATTTGTGTTTAAATCTTAAGTCCACTCCATTGAGAACGAAATAATAAAAAAATCTCGCTTTCAATATAAATTAGTGCCTTCAAGTGATACGATATCGATGTTAGGAAAACACAGCCTCTGCCAAGATCATGTACCTTTCGGGTCTTGAATTCGTTGTTGACTGTTATACACACTTCTTTTTCTTCACGCAGTACACGTACATGTAAAAAAAACTGCTAGAAACAGTTAAATTTGTTGTTCCACCATCGAAATACTTATACTAACTTGCATTCTGTTTTTTTTTGTCTATTGATGTCCTCGATAACCAATGGAGTGGTCTTGCGCTTTGTTGTTATGTTTTTGCTGGCATTATAATGCTTCTGCTTGTTCTTTTTACTGTCTCCGGTAGTACTAGAATTGGTAAAACTTGATTGTAAATAAGCTCTACTTATAGTATATTGTATAACTGTTATATTTCTGACGTTCACAATTATCTGGACAGACTTGTAATTTATCTGCAGTGTATGTATTTTATACTACAATCTAGTACATCATTTGTCAAAACTCAATGCGTAAACTTAATACCATGGACATACAACATTGTACCAACCGGTGGAAACTAAATTGGCTCACTACTTGACTAGCCTATTGGTCCCAATCAAATCGATTAACGTATCCTATTCTAGTCTAAATTCTAGTACTACACTTTCCTATGTTTCGAGGGGTGCATCGATTAGTTTAGGACCGAAGGTAGTACCAGAGCTGAACCAATAAGTAGAGCACGTTTCTTTGGGACTTTCTGGTCTTAAAGTTACCTCTATGATTGTATTATCGTTTTACTTTTTTAATTTAGTAAGTCAATTTAAAGTATTATCAACAATCAATACGAAACTATCGATTTTAAATTGGCTCATTACATGACTAGCCCATTGCTCCCAAGTACATCTATAAGCGTACCTTATTCTCGTACTAGAATCTGTCAAAACTTGTGTTTGTTTTGATTATAATTTTACAGAGTTTAATAAGGGGTTCGTGGATCTTTCTATGTTTCAAGGGGTGCTTCAATTAGCTTGGGACCGAACGAAGGCCTGGTGCTTCCTGAGCCAAACGATTGATCATGTTTCTTCGGGACCCCAGGTCTTAATGTTACTCTACAGACATACCGATTACAGTGTAAGCCGAATCTATTACAATCAATGCCAAAATGGATATGTGAATTATTCGAAAAAAAAAAATTCGAGAAATGGAACACCTGTCCCAGGTGGTACTGAATTGGACAGAAAATAAACAGTTCCGTATTTGAAAAGATTTTATAAGTTCCATCCTTTGGACAAGTTTTAATTATATCATGGACAGCCAAGATTATTCTTTAATTAATTTAATTAAAATTACAATTTAAGATACTAGATTAAAGGAGTACATGGGTACTACCATAGAGGTAACTTTAAGACCAGAAGGTCCCGAAGAAACGTACTAAAAATTTTAGCTCAGCTCGTGTACTATCTTCGGTCCTAAGCTAATCGATGAACCACTCCGAAACATAGGAAAATACACGAAGGGTTCGTATACCCGAGCAAAGCTTAAGATCAAATTGAAATCAAAATTTGCTGTTATGATGTAACTTATTTTGAATTCTCCAGTTGATCTCATTTTGGTTGACTTAACGGTTAACACAGCAAAAATGAGAGCAAAATTTTACACTGTTGAAGCAAACGGAAAACTAATCCTGCTTTCAATGAAATCAATTTGATTACTGATTTTGCATTCATAATGTTTAACTGAATACGGGCCTAGAGTAAATTTTTTTTTTTTTTTTCTTTATTTTTGTGATTTTTAGCCGTAGGCTAGTTCATCACATAACACCTAGAGTAAATGGTTACCATTCATGTTTCTCAAGCTGAAAGACTTAGGCTCCAATCTCACCGCGGGCAAGTCACGAATGACCTAAAATGTGTTAAACAAATCAGATAAAAGATAATCATTAGTTCAACGACAGATGAATTTCAATTAAATTTCAAACAAGACGTAAACAGCAGAACTTCAAGTTAAGTTGCTTTCATTTAAAACGTCTTGACTGCATAATGAAAGCACAATATGATATCAGACTTATGTCGCAACATTTGAAATCAAAATGAGTTTTCATTATGATAGGAACTGCACACTTTAATATCGATTTGCTTTCATTTTGTTAACCGACTTTGCACGGGTAATTACTCATGACAGACATATAGAGTAGTACCAACAATCAATTCGAAACTAACGATTTTAAATTGCCTCACTACTT